ACTATAATTATAACCCCAATTAGGGAACTTATATATAACCTTACTTACTAAGATGTTGTCCTGAATATCATGCTGGTATCTGTTAATGCAAGCTTGGGATTTTGGGTTAGGAAAATTGGATTGTCAGTGTTTGCGCCGTTCCAAAGGTTGCTTCTGGTTACGAGTGGGGCAAAAGTCATGAGAAATACGAGGTGCAAAAGATAAGTCACGTGATCCGCCAGAAGATTCCTCCACCATCCTACAAAACCTCCGTAACTTTCCTCCGTGATGCCCATGTGCTGGCGATGGTAGGGCTGCTTCTACCAATGGCTGCGAGCCCATATAATCCTGAACCCTCAACAAAAGCTGCTTTCAAGATCGGGAACCTGAAGCACACCAAGCTCCCGCAGATGAAAGGCTTTTGTTGTTTTTAAGGGCCTTTTTCGTCACTTGCGCTGCGAAGCCCATGTTGGGCAGGCTACCGGGACACCAGATGCAAGGTTTAGGGTTTAGGGCCTTAGGGTTTACGGTTTAGAGTGAATCAGTCCAATCCCACTGTGCTGGAATGGATACTACGAACCTTCCCCCCCGCTCCGAAGAGAAGTTTCCTGAAAATACTCCTTGCTGTATGCCCTAAATGGGTCCCTTATATGGAGGGTCATGGGACTTAGTAAGGTTATAAGTACCCCCAATTGGGGCTACAAGCTGCTACCTTATCTAAAACCGAAGCTACTCCCATGATCCTCCAAATATGACTCTGGTGAAGAGCCCAGATATGCTTATGTTCCTCTCGACAAACATTGCCCCAAAGCCCGACAGCCCAAAACCGATCCCGTCTGCTGCTTGCCGGGGCACATCGAAACCTCCTTTCATCTCCGCATCCCACCAATCGTAAATCGCACGGCTTTCAGGATGTCTCGCCTGACCTGCATCACTTGATTTTAACAGGTTTCTGCGGCTTTCATGTTAGCATTCAAGGGCATCTTGACCTGTAAGTTTAATTAGGGCGTAGGGGTCGGCGATGCAGCAGGTAGGTTCAGGGTTGAGGATTCCGTGTGCGCTTTGAGCGACAGCTTCGGACATCATGTACAGTCTACGGTGGATGAAAGAAAGACATGACTCCCGCAACTAATCCCAAAGTGGTGACTCTGATCGTCAGAGCTTATATAATCCATTCTTATCTCTTTAGGGACCATCAGCGGATACTGTTACTACTACTTATTCAGACCTCCACATTCAACGAAGAGTTGCTCCCTGAAGTTGAAGATTCGTGCGATGACGGGCTGAGCATTGGGAGCCTCGCACGACGCTGAGTCCTTCCTGAAGTTGCACCGTGAGGAGAGTAGTACCAAGAACGTACATCTTGCGGTTTCTACTTCCCAGGACCTATACATACACTGACATACCTATACCTACAAAGCATTTTCTCGGAGGGTTTCCTTACAGATCCTGCGACAGACGTGGAAGATCAGTCAAAGCCTGCCATCAGCTTAAACAAAAGCCTAAACTTCGCTGCAGTAACCCGTAAGATGGATAACTCGAAGTCGCAATTTGTTCTTTAAAGTTCCCTGCGGTAAACCGTCAGCTGGAATTCTCGGAAGTGGACCCTAAACCCTAAACCCTAAACCCAGCCTCAAAACCGGTCACACTGGTTCCGGTGCGTTCGTTACCGACTGACTTGAACCAAGATCCCAGACCGCAACCGCCCGACCTTGAAACTGAAGAGCCCTTGACTTGCAAAAGATCGGTAATATCGGGGCCTTAATAACTAGAATAGGATTTTGGGGGTCCTTTATAGCATAGTTAGAACAAGGAACCCCCAAGATAATGTAGGTAATTGTTAGTATACCAGGCAAAGATCTCTTCGCGCGATGATCTAGGACAGACTGTCGCCAGTTGTCCAGGCCGACGAGAACTTGCCTGCCCAATGGCTGAGTGCGAGAGCTTAGGCCTCGTAAAGCCGAAGCACTAACACAGATAAACCCTAAACCCTAAACCCCTAAACCCTAAATCCTAAACCCCTAAACCCTAAACCCTAAACCCTAAACCCTAAACCCTAAACCGTGCTGCAGGGTTCGTCCTTGCAAACTTTCGGGGCTTCTTGTCAGGAAGCCTTATGCCTGGCGAAAGTTTTGGGTTTAGGTTTTAGGTTTTAGGCTTTAGGAACGACATGCCGAAGAATCCTTCCTCAACCCCCCCCCCCCTCTGTCCTCCCTAAACCCTAAACCCTAAACCCTAAACCCTAAACCGCACTGACCGAGTTCACCTACTTTCGACAACCCGAAACGGCCCTCGGAGTCTCTTCACCCAGAGACTCCAAGGGCCCCTTAATTAAGGAATATACCTTAAATCTTATTAGGGTTTAGGGTTTAGGGTTTAGGGTTTAGGGTTTAGGGATCCTACTATAATTTAAGGTATATTCCTTTATTAAGGGGTATTGGAGTCTCTGGGCAGAGGCCCGGAAAGCCGGAAAGCTCTGACTGCTCCTTCGGTCCACTGCTTCTTCGACCCGTTTAGGGTTTAGGGTTTAGGATTTCGGGTTTCGAGGTTTAGGGTCCAGGGTTTATTTAGGGTGTGGGATTTAGGGATTCTTGAAGCTTTGACATGGGGGTAACTTCCCACCGTAAGCCCAAAATAACCTACCTTTTTAAGGACTTATGTAAAGAAAGCATATATTAAGGAATCCGGAATCCTAAAGAGGTAGGTTCTTCAGGGTCCATGTAAGGTTCAGGGTTTCTGGATTCTTGAAGCTTTGACATACAGGTAACTTCCAAAATCAGGGTCTCTCTGGGGGAACCTTATATAATTCTGCTCTAAACCGGCACCCTATAGTTTGGGAGCCCCAAAAGGGACTCCGATTTGGACAACCACAATTTTGGGGAATGAGGTTAGGATGTCGGAGCTTCGGATTTAGCATCGCGACGCCGAATACCACAGACCGTTTTGGGTTTCGGGCTTGGGGTTTGCTAACCCACAGCGTAGGGTTTAGGGTTTGGGGTACAACCTGGAAACCTCATGAAACAAAAGGCAGCCTTTGCAGAAGAAACGGGTAAAAGCGACGCCTGTGAACCAAGGTCTGCGACGGTTTAGGGTGTGAGTTACACTATAGGTACGGAGCAAGCTTTGGGGCCAGGATGCTACATCAAAACCACGGAGTCTAAGTCCCCGACCCCCTAGGTTAGGTAAGCTTGTAAACCTGTGCAGCCGCTAGCAACTCATGAAACAGAGCCAAAAGCATCTCCAAAAGCCTTGGCCCTGTACCCTAAAGCCCTCGGCTCGAACATTGCCAGGCCCTTTGAGCTCTGCACTCTCTATCACCGAAAAATTACAAGCCCAAAATTCCCAGGCGCATCCGATGCCTTGCGAAGCGCGCTTCTTCTGCCCGGTGGCTGCCTGCGGCCCGATGAGCTTGGGTTCCGGAGGACTCTTATCGGTTTGTCGGTTTGGGGTTTGGGGATTTGGGGGTTAGGGTTAAGTGAGAACCGACATGCACTTTAGAATTGAGGACTCAAGCCCGAGAACCTAAACCCTGGAAGGCTGAGACTCCTCTCTATCTCTCTCTGCATAGACAGAAGGGTTTAGGGTTTAGGGTTTAGGGTTTAGGGTTTAGGGTTTAGGGTTTAGGGACATTGTGTCAGTTTATATGCATGTGTATAGAGTAGACATCACGCACAAGCACATGAAAGTATAGATAGAAACATCTAGACATGTGTGAGTATGGATATACAGAAGATACATATATACTACATACATACATACATACATACATACATACATACATACATACATACATACATACATTTATGACCGCCCCTTTAGGCAGAGCT